TTTCTTAGCAGGAAAGCAGTTTAAATTAGAGCTCTGGTTCTCTCAGATCTTTTATGAATTTCCCTGGAAACTCTTAGCCACATGTGCTTAGTTCTGGAACACTTGCTATCAAGTGGAAGAAGAAGGTAGAGATGTTTTCCAGCAGTTCATATGTGAAATAAATTGCACTCCCTTCATCCATACTTAAAGAGCAAAGAGGACATTTAGAGCAGTAATTTAAGGTAAAAATGCTTCTATAGACAGACTACAAGGAACATGTAAAGTTAGAAGAAGTCTAGTAACAATAGAAAGTTCAGGCAAATTGATGCCTGAATTATCCACGTGTTTAATATTTTGCAGTGATAAGCTTGTTTGAAATCTATGCAAGTTTTTCTTTTTACCTTAAAAAGGTGCATCACTGGTACCCTGACCATCTCAGTGATGAACTAAAAATGTAATTCCATATTGATGCAAAAATGCCTTGCAAACTCCAATTGCTATAACAATGTAAGGTAAAAGGCAAACAGAAGAAAGGTATCTGGATTATTGAATCAAGCAGAAAATTTTACTAGAATTTACTAGAATAATCATTATAGGCAGAGAAAAGTTAATGAAAATATACAGCATATTTAACAGATGGTAGAGAATATAAAAGCTAAGAAAAAGTGGAATTCTTAGGAGATATAAAAGCAATGTTTATTTTGAAACCTATTGTCAAAAAGTTGAGTGGAACCAGTCAGATTTAATTTTAAAAAACATGTCTATGTAAGGTACCTGAGTAAAGGATTCCTTAGGCAGCTGAAGTAAGTTAGGAATTCAATCTGTATGGTCCAAGTACCAGATCAGGTTCAGCAAACCCAAGTTTGTCCTTTCCAGTTTCTACGGATAGAGTACAAAGGAGTACAAACCACTCTTCCCAAATAGTGTGTGGATGAGAGGGTAATGAGTAGACAATGCCTACTCTTCCAAATCATTCCAATCTTGCCATCCATCTGTAAGTAATCCCCCTTCCTATTCTAAGCCCAATTTTTTCCTAAATTTGAGATGCATACTTACATATATAAAGGAAATATCTATTGATAAGTCCAAAGCCTAATTATAAAAGTCACCATAACTGTTTCTTTCATCTGTTGTATATTTTTAATCAAAGAAATCTGAATCATAACAACTCTGTATTATCTAGTGCAATGCTGATGGTCATTCCATCATATCAATGCTATCTTTTTCAATGGAATTTTTTAAAGAAAATTTGAAATCTGTCTAATAAAATCTGGGATAGGATTTTTTCTAGTTTTTGATGAATAAAATATATTTCATTGCCTAGATATGCAGTCTTATAGCATATTAATATTATTCTCTTTTGAAAATAATCTTCATAGCAACCTCGGGAGCAAGCTGTCAAATTTGAGAACTTTAGGAACTAATGTTTATTAAATGTTGCTTACAGAGATAAAATGTGACTCCAGGGGATATTTATTTTTTATGTCATTTACTTATTTTTTTTTATGCTTTCTTTGAAACCAATAATAGTAATCATTCACCAGAAAAGCATGAATTAGCTTCATATTAAACTTCTCCCCAAAATACACTGCAGCACAGATATTACTGGGATTTTCATACATTGTATTTCTCAAGATATAGTGGACTGCCAAAACATTAATAGTGCAAATCTGTGTTTGACTACAAATGACTCCCTACAAGGCCTGTTTTGATTATTAATAGGATTAATTATTTGCCTGCTCAGTGCAGTTACTGTGGTTTGTAATAACAGTTAATAATGAAAAGACTGAGGCACATTTAAAAAATAGCACGTTTAATAATACAAATTAATTCTATCATACAAAGAATCAGAGAGAAAACATTGTGGAGACAATACCTTCTCCCTTTTTCTTCATCATTAAGAAACTCTTCTCCTGTGGGTATATTCTGTTGTCATTTTCCAAACACAGAAAAATAAACTGGGTGTGTATCATAATAGCCATGAATTTTCTCAAACAAGAGACTCAAATTTTATCACGCTCCCCAAGTTGTTTTCTATCAGGAAACTGGGAAGTTACACTAGTGGTAGAATTGTTTGAGGGTTTGAGGCTAGCCCCTTCTCCAGAACCTCAAAATTGCTTTGAAGTATTGAATAATTTGCCTTCTTTCAGAGTTGCAATGGCTACATTCCTCTACAGAAAGAATACCGCACAGCCCAGTGGTTTTTCGTAATGCTTTAGGTGCAGTGACTTTATGAGTGTAGAAGACAGCAGACAGAGCTGCTCGTCTGGGTAAAGAGGAAAGACATAATATGAAAGCATATCTCTATGCCCTTGTCCCATAGTCTTGGGAAGACTCTGAGGCATTTCCCCAGAAGCCATGGAGAGTAGTTTGAGATGTACTACTTTATAGGAAATAGAAGTTATACATGTGAAAAAAGTTCACCCATGTAAATATCACAGATTCATCTATCAATCTTCTGATGAGCTTTGCTAATTTCACAAGCAATAAATATATAAAATATGTCTGTATCCTAGTATGGAAGAATATATATATATATATATATACATATATATAAATATATATATATATAAATATGTATGTATATATATATATATATATATAATACACATATTACTCTGTCCCCAGGCAGGGAGGAGATGAGCACTTATAGATGGGAGACCATTTCACTGTAACTTTATGAAAGACTTTTGGATACTGCATGAGGGGTAATCATCATTGGTTAGACCATTTTTCACTCACACGGTCATTGTAACATGCCATTTAAAAGACAGCTGGTTACAGATTCTAAAATTCGAATCGTTGCTATGTTTCTGTACCACTAATGTTGCTTTATTAATAGTTATTTTTCACAGTAGCACTGTAATTATTATAAATATTTACCTTAGACCTACTTATTATGGCACATGCTTCCAGCAACCAAAGATTCCTGGAAATGTCATCGTCAATATCTTAGAGTATTTAAGCTCCCTTACTATTTGTAATATACAATTTCATCATAGTACAAAAATACCCCAAAACATATATATTGTTATGTCTTTAGAAAAAGTCCATATTACAAATGGTAAATTTGGTGAAGGCCCCCTATCTTCTTTGGTAGAGAACCACAGTCTAAAACCCACCACCGTTGGGTATTTAGCAAAGACCAACTTTCAGTTTTAAGAAAAAAAAATCTGGAACTTGCTGTCTTCCCAGACTAAATAGTAAAGCCAGTGATACCAATAAAATCTGATTTATATGGGTCCCTTCTT